CATTACCAGAGCTTCTGCTACTGTAACAGTGCAAATTGGGTCAGCGTCCCACTTGCATTACTCAGCCTTTTATATATTTATCGTCAAACAGAGCTGCACGGTAAACCGTAGGCAGAAAGGGAGAAGAGGACAACAAACGAGGGCGGTGACAAACTGTTCGTTTGTCGTCCTCTTCTCCCTCTCTGCTACAGTTTACTGGGCCGCTCTGTTTGACAATATATATATATACAGCCTCCTGATGAGTCGGTGAAACTCTGACGAAACAGTTTGTCATAGCCCCTCGTTTGTTGTCCTCTTCTCCCTCCCTCTCTGCCTACGGTTTACCGGGCAGCTCTGTTTTACCATATTTGGCTGTGACAGACCTTTCTTTGTTTCGTGGATGTTTTGCTGGCTTGTGATGGGGTGTGAACCGACAGTCTGTCGAGTTTTCCATCTGGTGTGGGTGAGTGATAGTCTACTTTGATTTTGGTTAAGGTAGATTATCATTTACAGTGTAATCAGTGAGGGGATTCTGCAGACTGTTGAGGGTTCAGCCTCCTGATGAGTCGGTGAAACTCCGACGAAACAGTTTGTCACAGCCCCTCGTTTGTTGTCCTCTTCTCTCTCTCTGCCTACGGTTTACCGGGCAGTTCTGTTTGTAACGATATATATGTATATATATGGTCAAACAGAGCTGCCGGCCTTGAGATATCATCATTGAACTGACCGGCACCAGGTAATTCAGAATGATTTTATTCTGGTCATCGTCTTCAGTATTGAAAATGATTTTCGAGGAGGCTCCAATTCGGTTTTTGTGGATGTTTATTTGTTTTTTTTCATTTTATTGACTTGTTATTATTTCTCAGAAGAATTTGTTTTTTTATTAGTTAAACCTTTTCTTGTTGTACGCCGGTCCTTCTCTGCGCTGCATAGAAGCCATTACTTTACGTTCAGCTAGTGGATTCAAACCTGGGTCTGTACTTCAACAGTACCGCCCATATCTTAGAAAAAAGCAAAAACAGATGCTCATATCTGTTGGTGCTCACCTGCTAGAAACCGGATCCAGTGTCCCATAAATAGACAATCAATGCAAATAGATACGCCTCCCCACCCACTGGTTTGTTAACTATACAGAAAAAGGGGCCTGATGCAGCATTGATTGCCCTGCTGATGTCAGGCCCTCAGGGGGTGTACTGCTGGTGCCCAATTGACAAAGGGTCCAAAGACTACATCTCTTCAGCCCTCACAAGGGCCGTCAGATAGTGAAATGTCACTGACCGGGCTTTCAGCACTGAAAACAGAACTCTGAACCCATTGGACGGCAGGCAGCATCCACGCCAGGAAGATGTGGGTCATCCTGAGCAGTTCGAGCCCACACGCTAAAGAGCAGCAAAGAGGAGGGGGATGTGGAATGTTCTGTGGGGCACCAGAGAGTCAGGGACTACTCTACCTGCCCCTCCACAATTTACCTCCGTTTGCTAGTGCTAATCACCCACCACCCCTGACCGCCTACCGGCACCTAGGCCTCCGTTCTTGCAGACACCTCTTCCTCTCCCCATCCCACCATATTGGCAAACATTCGGGCGGGGCTGGGAATGTCCCATCCCGTCGAACCACTGTGAATCCATCAATGACAGTTCAGTCCTCGAAGCATAGTCCGTAGTCCCTTTTGAATGGATCAGGGTCTTGCTGACTGGCACCTAGGCCTCTGTTCTTGCAGACACCTATTCCTCTCCCCATCCCACCATATTGGCCAACATTCGGACAGGGCTGGGAATGTCCCATCCTGYCGAACCACTGTGAATCCATCAATGACAGTTCAGTCCTTGAAGCATAGTCTGTAGTCCCTCTTGAATGAATCAGGGTCTTGCTGACTGGCACCTAGGCCTCTGTTCTTGCAGACACCTATTCCTCTCCCCATCCCACCATATTGGCCAACATTCAGGCAGGGCTGGGAATGTCCCATCCTGTCGAACCACTGTGAATCTATCAATGACAGTTCCGTCCTTGAAGCATAGTCTGTAGTCCCTTTTGAATGAATCAGGGTCTTGCTGACCCATCACCTGCCACGCCATCCCAGTCCACAATTGCTACTGTCATACGCAACCTCACAGCCCAGACAGTGTCCCATACCCGTGTGAGAGCGATCAGAGTAATTGGGGTGTGACCGGGGATTTTGGCTGGGGGTTGAACCGCCAGGGCGAAACTGGGCTTCTCGCCTCAGTCCCGAGGGTCTTTTTGGAAACTTCGGCCGATAGGGGCAATCACAAAATTGCAGAAATCAGAGAACTGGAAAGGGGCAGGACATCAGCAAAACCCCGCCCGAAAACTTGAGGACACATATGCAACTCATCTTTGCTTCACGCCGTCCTTTTCGTGGAAACCAAGGAGAAGACATTACGCATCTGAGTCAGGTCCGCGAGGCCCGTCCGAGCGGCTCAAATTTTCATCGTCCAATGGGGGTGGGAGCGGAGGTACCCAGGTCCAGAAGTTTGCTTCCAGCACCAACCTCCGCCAGGAACATGACTTTCCTAGCCGACACCATCGACAGTTAAACTGGGGCTTCCACGTGGCATGCACTGCAGACCAAGGGAGCACCATTAAATCGGTGCATGACAAGATCAAAGATGAGGAGGCAAACCGATCAATCAAAACAAACCCTGCTCCCGCTTTGTGACACGCTTTAGACGGGTTATAAAAGTGAACCCGATCGGTCCGCAATAGCGTCCTTCACACATCCGCATCGCAATAAAGACCGTCCTCGTCTGCGGTCGGAAAACGGGGAAGGTTGCTATAGTGGATTGATGTGAGGTCCAAGCACGGGCAGTTACCCGCACTCACGTTCAGAGTGGCAAAATTTGACTCCATACAAAGCTCAACTTGTCTTACATAAACCGGCCTTCTTTCAGAATGCAAGCTAATACGCGTGATGACTCAAACCAAAATTTTCACCTTGACAAAACGACGATGGCCGAGAGGATGAGAGATTGAATGGAACGACGAAGTCTCCACATCCGATGTCCTTGGTCGCCCAAGCGTACACACATGTGACAAAGAGGTTAACACGTGGCGCTTGCGTGCAATGTAGGGAGGGGAGGAGAAAGCGACGGTCTCTCACACGCACTACGTGTGGGGAACGACAGTTAGTTGGGGAAGAAGGGGATCAGCACACATACACTCAGGAAGACGTCCAAAACCCAATCACCCCATGTGCACTCACCCTTGCACGCAAAGCATGCCAAACATTACCAAGGACCAACGCGCCGTCCCTAACCATAGCTACCTCATAATGAAGGGTTGGGCGGCTGGTTGGGGCACGACTAACAGAAAGACCAAGCATTTTGCCAGTAGCTGCCCCTCCTTTCATCTTTCCCCCACCCACATCAAGTAGCAGGAGTGTCCTAGGCCAACACTCGCCCACACACAACATACAACCCACTCACACACACACTCACACATGTGTTGGCTAAAGATCCATTATCAAGAAGATAGGGAAAACATGGATTTCATAAAAAGACACTTCGGTGTGTTCCCTCTTTGCAGACGACCTTGCAGTGATCGTGGAAGCAAGCAACCAAAATATGGAAGAGAGAAGAAATTTGATGGATAAGTTTTGAAGAATGTCAGACTGTCAGACATGGCAGTCAACTGGGGTAACAAGACATCAGGTGGTGGATGCACCATCAGGGAAGAACCCCCCCCGAAATACCTAATATCACATGGCTCCCCCCAAAAGCCCCGGTCAGGTTACTGGGGGAGAGAGAGAGAGAGAGAGAGAGAGAGAGAGAGAGAGAGAGAGAGAGAGAGAGAGAGAGAGAGAGAGAGAGAGAGAGAGAGAGAGAGA